CTAACCGAACAGCAAACTAAAATTTTAAACAAAGGATTAAATTGCAACTTTAAAGACGCGAACAAACTTGACTACGTTGCCGACCTGGAATCGGCTTTAAAGTACACCAACTAAACAGACCAAACGAAAGAAGACATTCGTCACAAAATCACAAATAACCTCTGCCACAAACCACCTGTCACCCTAAACTACGAAGAACTACGAGCAATTAAAAACCTACAAAACGACGACCAAATAATCATATTACGAGCTGACAAAGGACGCAAAACAGTTATCATGGACAGATCAGAATACATCGAAAAAGCCAAAACCCTCCTACAAGACACCACCACCTACGAACTTCTCCATACAGACCCCAGCAAAACGACCACCAACCGCATCAACCAGAAACTGAAACAACTAAAAGACAAAAAGAAACTAAACGAAAACGACTACAGAAGAATCCGACCCAATGACGCATCCACCGCCAAAGTCTACGGACTACCAAAAATCCACAAAGAAAACAACCCACTTCGACCTATCGTATCGCTTCCAGGATCACCTACGTATGAACTTTCAAAATATCTTTATAACATTCTGTATCCATTAGTCAAAAATTCACCTCACACCATCAGAAATGCCACCACGTTCCTCGCCAGTATTGAAAACATTAAATTACTACCAGACGAAATCATGATATCCTACGACGTGACATCACTCTTCACATCCATACCACTAGACATTGCCAAACAAATTACAAACGAACTACTCACAAACGACAAAACTTGGCAAGCTACAACACAACTAGACAAAAATGACATCCTAGACTTACTCAACCTTTGCCTCTCTACTGAATTCACTTTCCAAAACACATACTACAGACAAATTTCAGGCACACCAATGGGATCACCACTATCCACCTTCCTCGCAGAAGCTGTCATGCAACACCTCGAAACACAATCAGGCACAAACAACACAAACATCCGACTATGGAAAAGATATGTCGACGACATCTTTGCCATAGTCAAGAAAGAAAAAACTGAACAAATCCTACACATCATAAACAATACCACAAAGAACATTACCTTTACTAAAGACGAAGAACACGACAAACAACTTACCTTCCTCGACATCCTACTAACCAGAACAGATGACGGTACACTAAACACACAAGTATACCGCAAAACCACACATACAGACCAAATACTCGATTTCAACAGCAATCATCCAACACAACACAAAATAAGCTGCATTCGAACACTTTTTAACAGGGTAAACAATCATTGTAATACGGAAGAAGCCAAAAAACAGAACGCAACTACTTATACTCCACATTTATTAAAAACAATTACCCTAGAAACTTCATAAACAAAACTATATACAAAATACAAAACAAAACACAAACCGACAAAAGCAACAAAAAACCGGACGAAACAGTAAAAATCGTCACATTACCATACATAAACGGAACATCAGAAATGACTGCCAGACTTCTTCGACCATTTAATATTAACGTCGCCCACAAACCTACACAAAAACTCAAATCATGTTTCACCAAACATAAAGACAAAACAACAATTCATGATACAACTGACGCGATCTACATGATACCATGTAAAGACTGTTCAAAGCAATACATAGGACAAACATCTAAGAAAGTTTAAACAAGACTCACAGAACACAAAAACGCCATAAAACGACGAGATCCGAACTCACTACCGGCAGAACATACCCACGGAAACAACCACACATTCGACTGGACAGAAACTAAAGTACTCGGACGCGCACAGACTAAACACGCACGCGAATTTAAAGTGGTTCTATGACGAAAACCTAGCGTTAAAAAATCATCGATTTTAGCATTCAATAGTTTAAACACATATCAATTATTGCATTCGTAAAATGTAAACAAAAATAATAATATAACGAGGGAGTTATGAACATTTGAAATGTCTAATTTTCATGTCCGCCATTAAATTCGGCCATTTTGAATATTTGCAATCAGCAAAGTCTGTGACGTCATAGTCTTAACACGGCAAGAAGCGCACATTGGAAAGTATACAAAGTAATACATAAATAGAGCAAAAAAATGTCAAATTCATCGAGGTCTAGCTCGCTCTCTGAGTCTTCGATCGAGACAAACGCATCGATTTCTTCATCGGAATTTGTGACGGCAAATTCGAACGAATCTAATTCGGAAATTTTGCCATTTGTCGATAATACTGAACCGCTTGCTTCGCCCGATGAAATTGCTGAGTACGAAGCTACAGTCGCAGAAGAACGGCGGGTTGAAGACATGCTGCAATATCGTTTTGATGCCCGTGTTGATGTTACTTCATGGTAAGATGTCATTCTTAGTGTGTTACTTTGATCTGAATCGTCTGCCGTTAGCTATGATAACTTTATGGAAACATACAATTTGGCCAATATTAAAGGTGCGAATGTGGCCATTGTTCGTTGGATCTTGTTGTCAACCCTCAAGAGTGCCGATGCTGCATGGAAATAGAGCAATGCCGTGGTTAAAATGTATCAGTTCGAAATCGATGAAAGGAAATGCATTTTGGATCACCCTGGCTTTAACGAAGTTTGCCTGAACGAATTTGTTCTTCAAGCAGCTTCGTTAGGTTTAAAGACCAAAGGTCATCGCATGATTCCAGACACTTCATTTTGTATTTCCTTTAAAACCTTAGTATAAATGTATATTATATATTGAAAGTTTGCCTGGATGTATTATTGGTTCTCTCAAATTGTGTAAATTTATCATCTGCAATATATGTAAGTATATAATAATTGCAACTTGTGCTAACCTGACGCCGCTCTCTTGACGTTGTTGTTGTTTGTGATTTCTTCCAAATAGTAGGTTCGGCACCAGGTTTGAGCCGTCTAGTCATACCACCCAAATGGAATAAACGCTCAAAACAATCATCCGAGAAGTGATTCGAACAAATCATAAATCGAATTTCGCGCGAACTCGGATTAAAGTTTGCGCGCTTCGTCTGAACAAATTTAACCCAAATTCTTCTCAGACTCGTCGTTTGGGCTTTTATGTAATGAAATGCCTGTACTTCTATCAGACTTATTACTGCAATCTTGCACGACACAGCGTGTTGAAGGCATCTTAAAAAAATTGAGTTATACAACCTTTTAAATCTCTATTTGTATATAGTGTTATATTGTAAACAGCCGCGAGTTAAGACTATGACGTCACAGGCACCTTCCTTCTTGAAAATTCAAATATGGCGCATTTTAATGGCGGCTCTTAAAGTTCAAGTTTTATCGCTACGTAACTTGAGCAGCATGAAATACATTGCGCTAAAATTTCGCCAGAAGAGATTTTTTTACATACACTATTAATATATGAAAAAAAAACGAGAGGCAAAATTTTCGTCATAGTACCACTTTAAAGAAGCTTGGTACAGTAAAGACAACGACACAATAAACAGACATATCGACATACCCATCATATACTCACAACTAAAGAAAAAGGACAAAAAAACTACAAACAACAAAAAAACTAAAACACTACACTCTAATATTAATATATATATATATAAAAGATAAAAGTTTCTCCGGATTTTTAATGTGATTGTATGGGGTGAAATGCGTTGCCATGGGTTTTGGTGTATTGTTAATATGATTGGTGTTAATAATATTAGAGTGTTAAATGAAGATATGATCTTCGCACTTTGCTGGACAATTTAAGCAATCGTCTCAGGACCTGAAAAAATCAGGTGACTCAACGGGATTCAATATTGTTGGGCTGAACGAGAAAACATCAGCCCAACAATATTGACCTGCTCACCACTGTGCGACTTCATAGCTCAGTTGCTCAGAGCACTGCACCGGCACCGCAGAGGTCATGGGTTTGAATCCCGTTGAGTCACCTGATTTTTTCAGGTCCTGAGACGATTGCTTAAATTGTCCAGCAAAGTGCGAAGATCATATCTTCATTTAACACTCTAATATTACACCAATCATATTAACAATACACCAAAACCCATGGCAACGCATTTCACCCATACAATCACATTAAATCCGGAAAATCTTTATATATATATATATATATATATATATATATATATATATATATATATATATATATGTGTGTGTGTGTGTGTGTAGTGGTGTTGAGAAAAATCACAAAACAACAGATTCATCCCGACAAGCCTGTTTCGTGATTGCTCACTCTTCAGGAGATTTTATGAATAAATACTTAAATGTTTAAAATATATATACAAGATGACAGAAGTTATTATATTAAAGGGGTTATATCACGAATTTTAGCCCCCCTTTTTTATTAGCTAAATTAAAAGACCTTATTTCAGTGATTTTAAATCTGCAATTATAATTGAAATTGGATTGGTGAAAGTGATTTTATGGACGTTCAAAGTCACGATTTTCAGCATTTTTTTTGCGAACTTTTTGATCGGTATGCTAATGAGTTGTGACGTAGATAGTTGAACACATATATCAACATGGCGTATTCTACTAGTAATCTTAATAAAAAACGCGGAGGAAAACGCTGTGTTGCTGGCGGACCTAATCAAATTAGTTGCGCCAATGATTCAAAAACAGAAGGAATGTCGATGCATCTGTTTCCTAATAAAGAAACAGAGCCGCAAAGACATAGAAAATGGGTAAATTTTGTGCGTAAACATAGACCGGGTTTTGAGGCTTCCTCTACCTCGTGTCTGTGTTCTGCGCATTTTGAAGATTCTTGTTTTGACCTTAATTTGAGCGTGCAAGTCACGCTCAAAAGAAGGTTGAAGAAAGATGCTATCCCAACCATTGATGTGGCTGGGATTCCTGAACCATTACAGGACGAAATAACCGATCGAAAGCGCAGACAAGTAAGTTTACGCTTGTTTATGTTAATTTTTCTTTTGTCATATGTAAATTCGATATATGTTTTGTAGATTATTCGACATACTCTCCATAAGCCATCGCTGAAGGAAACATGTTCTCTCGATGAGGAAGTACCATCTACTAGTGATGGAGCTGAGCATGAGAATTGAAGCATCAGTAACAAATTATTTTTCATATCAATTTCTAGAATATGTTGAACAAGTAAAGAATGTTCTTTTCATGTCTAATAAACAAGAACTTTCAACTATAATGGAAAGATATAGAGGAAAAGCACCCGAACCTTTGTGCAGCCAGTTTCCCAACAAACGATCCAAGGCTGAGGCAGTAAAAAAATATGTTGCGAGGAACAAGTATGTCAGTCATGCACTTTATCCATGCTGTAAGTATGGGATAATGGTATTGTTTACAATTATTTTAGGATGTAATGATCTGCATTTTTTCCTTAGTGGAACAGCAAAGACAGCAGTTACAAGACCTAACAGATGATGCAGATCAAATATTAAATAGCTCTGGGAATAAAAGCACTCGCAAATGTACTAAATGCAAAGCTCCAATGAAAGGACATCCTCGAGGTCAATGCTTCACTGAGAAAGAATAAATTGAAGTTGGTAGATGATAGGGTAGTGGTCAGACATTGCTTGGAGCCTGTCTGGAATGGAGAAGTAAGGCACCTCCTTCCCACCACCAGCCTGAGGGTTCACCTTAGGCAAGTGATAGTACCCTCTAGCCTCCCTATCTGGGCACTGATATACACACCTTTCCTGATGATTACAGTATTAATATAACATTGAATGGTATGTATACTTGTCAGATTGAAGATGACTATCTCACTCGATTGTGCAACTAATTAATTTTCATGAATAATTTTTTTTATTGTAGTTTAATGCTCAACATGCCCTTTGTGGATGCAGTGCACTCAAGTGTGAAGACCTTATAAGATAAGTTCATGTGGCTTGCTATTTTCCATTTTACATTTATGCTATGATTTAATTCCATATAATTTTTCTTTTTCCCAGACTGACATTGAAGAAAAGATTTTCTTTACCGTATAGTGCATCCATGTATCTCCTATTTGGTTTTCATCTAGGCATATTTCCTGACCATTCTAAACTCAGCAAAGAAGGCCAACAGTCTCTACAGTGCACAAGTTAAAGACCTTTGCATCATCGCCCCTCTGATGGTATGTAACCTTTTGTGTTACCACTTGGATATGCTTTCCGAATAAAGTGGTAAACACAAGCAGGTAAAGGCCGAGTATTCTCCCATCCCATAGACCCACAAAACCATCGCATCAACCATCTGTATGCCACAGCTCTCAAGTACCTGAAGTAAATAAAAAGGTTGGACTAATTATTGTTGATGAAACAATGTTGACGATAACATTGTTTCTCATACAATTACAATCTTACATATTTAATGATTGTGATGCTTGGCGGCGATAAGCACGTCCATTCCTATCTCTCAATAGTGGCCCGACGTTTTCAAGGACAGCCTCATGAACTAAAGGCCCAAATTTGGCATGCTGTGTTATGCATGATATTTTCTCAATGCTGCCATCGAATGTCATTTTCTGCAAAGCTGGTCCTATTTCCTTACAGCATCTGTACTCTAATGCGCCTTCTAACAAATCGGTATGACAGCATTGACAATTACACCTGAAACGTGGGAGCATTGTGGTTTATAAAGTAACTTTATGTATATTACAAACAGGAGAAAACAACAACTTATCATTCACCGAGTGGAATTACGCCATCACTTCGTTGTTCTAAGGTCGCAGGGAGAATTCCATCGGGATCATCTGGAGTATGCACTTCATCACCATCTCCTGCGAGCGGTTCATCGTCATATGCGAAGTCGTTTAAATGCTCGACATAACCCATGGATTCCGAGCTCGAATCAGATACGCATTCAGACATCGAATTTGAATTATCTGAGCACTGATTTGAAGCCATACTTTCCGGACAACTTGTTTTTTAATATTTTATTGAAAATACTGTCATTATTTGTTTTTAACACAAGAAAAACGACAACAAAATCACCTGCTATAATATAATATTATATTGACGGAAACAGACGTGTTCAACTATCTACGTCACAAGTATCAATATGGCGTCGTAAAAAATTCGCAAAAAGTACCCGACTTTGGAGGCAAAATTAAGCAACTTATATTTATCTGTTTAAGTCCAGCGACATGTCATAGTTCTTCAAATAATCCAAATTTTCAATTAAGCTAATAAAAAAGGGGGGGCTAAAATTCGTGATATAACCCCTTTAAGGTGTATGGTTACAAGTTAGACGACGGAAGTTAGAGTATTAATTAAGGTGTATAGTTACAAATTACATAGGAGAGTTTTGGATCTATGGTGACAAGAGGAAACAAGTTCGTTGCGTTTATTGAGGGATGATTTGGATGGTTGGTAGAGGATGAAGAATTTTTCTTTGATGCAAAGTTTGCATCTTTTACTAGTGCTGTTGTACGGTTTGCTGTGTGTGATGATGTTCCCTGAGATGTCGTTGTCAATGTTGCTGTCTTTAAGGGTCCAAATGTGCTTACTGAGTTCGGTCGAGTTTCGTAGTTTTTTGTGGCGGAAAGAGGCAGTGTGATTTCTGTCTAGTCTTAAATTCGTTTTCGGTAAGTCCAATATATATATATGTTTAGAGATTGGTAATCCAGGCATATTTAATGTATAAAAATAAAAGATTCTCCGCATTATATAAAATGATTTTTATTGAGCTTTCAACTCGTTGCTTCGAGCCTTCATCAGAATGAGGAAATATTATTTACACTTGCTTTTAGCTTGTAGACGCTTAGAGCGCGTAATTGGATTAGCGAGTGGATTAATGTGATTGGATGTAGTGAAATGCGTTGCCTTGGGTTTTGGTGTATGGTGAATATGATCGGTGTTAATATTATTAGAGTGTAATGTTGTAGTTTTGGTGTTGTTTGTAGTTTTTTTGTCCTTTTTCTTAAGTTGTGAGTATATGACGGGCATGTCCATATGTCTGTTTATAGTGTCGTTGTCTCCACTATATACTTAATATATTAATCCTAACACGGTTTTTTACATGCACATGAAAAACATGTGACTTGGACGAGATTTGAACTCGCACCTTCGGGTACTAGTCCGCCGCTCTACCAGTTGAGCTACCAAGCCCACAGGGATTGGAGTCGAGTCAAATCTCTTTTAAACTGCGTATGGACGAGAGATTCTCGCCACTATAGCAGTTTACTGGATGGCACCGTGTTTCGACTTTATTCCAAAGCCATCATCAGAGTATATACTTAATATATTAATCCTTAATATATTGTCTCCACTATACCAAGCTTCTTTAAATTCGCGTGCGTGTTTGTCTCAGTCGAATGTGTGGTTGTTTCCGTGGGTATGTTCTGCCGTTAGTGAGTTCGGACCTCGTCGTCTTATGGCGTTTTTGTGTTCTCTGAGCCTTGTTTAGATTTTCTTTGATGTTTGTCCTATGTATTACTTTGAGCAATCTTTGCATGGTATCATGTAGATTGCGTCAGTTGTATAATGAATTGTTGTTATGTCTTTATGTTTGGTGAAACACGACTTGACTTTTTGTGTAGGTTTGTGGGCGACATTAATATTAAATGGTCGAAGAAGTCTGGCAGTCATTTCTGATGTTCCGTTTATGTATGGTAATGTGGCGATTTTTACTGTTTCGTCCGGTTTTTTGTTGCTTTTGTCGGTTTGTGTTTTGTTTTGTATTTTGTATATAGTTTTGCTTATGAAGTTTCTAGGGTAATTGTTTTTAGTAAATGTGGAGTATAAGTGGTTGCGTTCTGGTTTTTTTTGGCTTCTTCGGTGTTACAATGAGTGTTTATCCTGTTGAAAAGTGTTCGAATGCAGCTTATTTTGTGTTGTGTTGGATGATTGCTGTTGAAATCGAGTATTTGGTCTGTGTGGGTGGTTTCGCGGTATATTTGTGTGTTTAGTGTACCGTTATCTGTTCTGGTTAGTAGGATGTGGAGGAAAGTAATTCACTTATATGTTAATAATTATTTGGTAAGCTATATATATATGTACGTTTAGTACAATTAAACTCAGTTAAAAATTCATAAATTTTATCCATTATATTGATATAAGTTTTTTAAGAGAGTTTCTTTTGCTGCTTCTCTTAACTCTATTGGTCTAAAATGGAACAAAATTTAAAAAGAGCGGAAGCATATCTTTCTGAATGAGAGAACATACCAGAAAAAAAAAGAAAAATTTTTTAAAAGATATGATTATCTCTAATGAGCAATTGACTTTTTCTATTCATATATATTCTCAAAATAAATATTAGAGCCCAAAAAATGATTTTAAACATAGTCATAAACAATTTGGTTTTATGAAATTTATTAAAAGAGTGACGTTTCGCCTTTACTCAAGACATCTTTAGACTAATTAGGAAGTTAACAAGAATATAGATATATATAAAGTTATTTACATAGTTTGAGGTATCAGATTACTGTGGCTGTGTAAGTGTGATGTGATGTATTATTAGGATGAGGTGTTGAGACTAGAAAAGCTTAAGAGGATGGAGCTGCCTTGGGTGTTAAGTGAAGGTTTTAGTTTGGAGATGAGGAGGCTTTCCTGGATCATGAGGTCGAATGTGTCGGAGCAGGATGAGATGATTTTAAAATCGTCTGGCGAAGCAGGGTGGTTGGAGGAGTTACTATGAGAAAGAATACTTGACATTAATGGGTTAGTATAGCGTTTTCCAGTCAAAGGAGAGATCTAGTAATTATTTTAGTAGATCATTCCGATGCTTCTCCACAAACTCTTTCATGATAAAGGACTCATTCTCCTTCGTACAAGAAATACTTAACACCAACATCAACTCTAGCAAAGTTGTTATGGCTAGTTTTGACGCAACGTCTCTTTTCTGCAACATTCCCTTTCATGAAACAATCAATATCATCTGTGATCTTCTTTTTACTAACCATAAACAATTTCATGGACTCACCCGCACCGAATTCAGTAATCTACTAACGCTATCTGTTAAAAATTGCCACTTTATGTTTAACGACCGCTTATACCACCAAATTGATGGTGTTGCTATGGGCAGTCCCATTGCCTCCCTTTTTGCCAACATATTCATGTCTTTCCATGAACAAAACTGGCTGAAAAACTGTCCCCACAAATTCAAACCTATTCTCTACAGACGATATGTCGATTATTGCTTCCTCCTTTTTAAATCACTTGATCACGTTCCTCTCATTTTAGAATACATCAACCATCAACACCCCAACATCACTTTTACCTCTGAGACGGAAAATAATGGACGACTACCGTTTTTAGACATTGACATTTACCGCTCAAACGACAAATTCACCACTTCTGTATATTGTAAACCCACATTCACCTGTCTTCTCACAAACTTTCACAGCTTTATCCCACTTTCTTACAAACGCAACTTAATCTCTGGCCTATTACACCGCTTTTTCAAACTCTGCTCTAGTTATGAGACTTTTCATGCCCAAATTGTTTATGACTATGTTGAAAATTATTTGTTGGGCTCTAATATTTATATTGAGAATCCGTTTCCCGCCTGGCACTTCATTGGCAACAATATTCATAAATATATTTAGATTATGGGATATATTTTAAAGAATGAACAATTGAACAATGATTTAATAAATGCCCTATGGCATAATGAAGAAAAAAAAGAACAGGTGTTTTTCTTTTTAAATAAATATGAAGAAAATGAAGATGATTTGCTTTTAAGGAAAAATGTGAATAACGAGGTATTTAATTGGATAGTTGCTTTATAAACATTTGTTGTGAAATTATTATTCAGTTTTATCAATATTGTCGTTGCTTCATGTTATATTAATAAGTTTTGGTTTGTATATTGGATATAAAGATATCAATGGCATCTATCCGTCATGAAACTTTGGAAATAATAAATAAAGCGTACATGTAACAAGAAATGAAGAGAAAATTTAATTTGAAAAAACT